TGATTTCTCTCAATCCCCGCCACAAGGGCAACGGTAGATCGAAACGTGGGCATTTTGTTCTCTAGAAATTTCACAGAAAATTTTTCCCACTCCACACATCCGTGCAAGAATCCCCCTATTTAGTGGAAATTTAAAATAAAAATAAAAATATTAAATATAACCTACTTCAAATATTTAATTGATAGTAATGTTGTTAAAAAATATATTTAATTGATAGTAATGAGCTATATTCATTATTTTTTTTTAATTTTGGTATAATACTAAGGTTTAATTATATTAAACTAAACTTAATTCAATATATTTTTTTTCTTAATCCAACTCTTTAAAACATTTATTTTAAAACTCCTGATCTTTCAAGTTTAGTGACATTAATTATATTAAAAAAATATGTACTCTCACCTCCTCCTGAAACTTGATTCGATTCTATCTTTTGTAAATATATTTAAAGAAAAACATTTGTTTTAAGAATTGAGCCTTTGAACTTAAGTGATTCGTTTCTAACATTTAAGTGTTTAAATTGGTTAGTTAATATTTTAAATCCTATCAAAACTTTGAAAAAAATCCCTCTAAAATTGTATATTTTTCAAAAAAAAAAAGAAAACATTTTGTTTTAAAATAATAAAATAAAATAATTAAATTAATTTTAAGATATAAATTTGCAGGAAATGTTCATGGGAGGCCAATCCCTCACGGATAATAATCAAGAATACAAGGGTAAGTTTTGCCCTCGTTAAAAATCCGGACAAGAATCCTCAACCCACAATGGGAGACACTCCCTTACCCGACGAGCCCATTGCCATCTCTACTTTTATGGTATATAACAGATAATACCCCAAATTGTAAAGGCAAGCCTTTAACCTAGAAAAAAAAAAATGTATTCTAGATGCAAGTTTTGGATATATTGCTTACGACAAAAACACAATTGAGCCCATATAATTGATTTTCTCAGCATTATAATCGATAATCAATTATATTGCAACTTTAGAATTTGTGGAAGAAAAAATCTTAGTTTTAGTTGACTCACGTTCAAATGTTGGGATCTCAATATTTTCTTAATTAAGTTCTTACCCAACCAAATGCCTCCTAAATGAAAATTTTATTTCGTAAATGTCAAAATTTTAACATTTTCTAATGATGATCAAGGAAATAAAAAGAAAATTAATACTTCTAAACATGTCTTATGGTTTTCGTTATGAATTTTGTAATTTATCCTACAATTGTCAAATTTTGGCTTTAGTTTTGATTGTTAGCCTGTTGCAAAATTTTTCAAAACCAAAACCTCAAAACCTAACAATTCTAAACGGAGCCTTAAATTGCAATTCATAAGGATTATTATAGCTAGAAAGTGATGGAAGCACATAAAATAAAGATCATTGCCTCATTGCAAAGGCTGAAAATAACAGTATCCCAAAGCAAAATCATGCAATTTCAAAGCAAGTTAGAATATCAATCCAGAACAAAATTACAACAACCTCCCTGCATTCTTTTATTATGAGAATTCTCAAAGATTACAAATTATGACTATGCATGGTGGTTATGGACACCTTCACCCTCATTGGCCTTCCGTGCAGCAGCTCTTAATTTGCGTTGCTCCTCCTTGTAAATCCGATTTCTTCTTTGGAACTGCAATATTAAGATGGACAGGTGATGGATGTTAATATTAATATGGATCAGAACATTACAATATCACAGACTGGATGCATATCAGCACATGGATGAACCAAAAACTCAAGTTTCGTATACAAGTCAAACACAATGCCTCAAGAAAATGGAAAGCACATTTTCTTCTTTTTGGTACAATTTGACAAGCCTAAAAGGGGTGGAAGATTTTAAGCTTGGACCTCAACTATCCCTTCCTTGGGTGAGGGCAATGATGAAGCCTAGCTTTATCTGATGGAATTTCAGAAAAAAATAGAAAAGACAAGAAGAATAAAACATCTGCAAGCATGCTCCTCTTTCACAATTCTGCACTCATATATGCTGATATACATTTTATTAAAAAAATCCAAAGGGCTTTTAATGACATATGACACTACTTCCTAGCAATACTGCTGCACAGGTTTACATTTCAATGGATGGCTATGCGTTTTACAATGCAAATAGATATATAATTGCATTTGATCATGAGATTATGAACTTAAATTAATTAAATCAACCTAAATTGTCCACAATGGTACAATAATAGATGACAGGAAGATAATGGTCATAAGAGGGTTGTAGCAACAAAAGTGCTTAAAACGGGCAAGCAAGCAACCTGTTAAACTCCCTAAAAGTTAGAACTGTTCATTTAGGATGCTAATGACCCGGTTGTACCCCATCTTAACCTCCCAAAGGTGAGAAATAAGTTATCAACTGAAGTTCACTTAAATAGAAACTAACAGCTTCTTTTTTAGCTGGCTTGCTACCTTTCATCTCCTTGAAAACTTTTAGTGGCATTAAAATGGCTTCAGTAGATTGTCCTTTAGTGATGGGTAAGGTAAACAAGTATAAAATGACATTTTGATAAATTTCAGGAAGTAGAAGAATATGCATTTATGCCATTTTTATTTCAGAAAGTAATTGGGGTTGGCAAATAGACAGAATCAAGAAATCAACACATGAACAGATAGTGAGCATGGTGCAGGTGTATAAGAGAAGCTGCATTTCTAAGAAAAAATGATAACTGAATTTCAGAAACCCCATCACCTCTCAGCAAGCCCAGGGGATTCAAAAGAAATGAAAAGATCAAGTTTACCCCTCCACCATGAGAGAAAAAATTGATCAATCAAAGGCTGCTGCAAGTAAATGGCACTGCAAAACTTTCAAAGATATGAAAACTAAATAATAAAGCTGTTGATCCCATTAAAAACAGTACTGTTGATCAAAGGATTGTACAAAACAACCATGTTCTGTCACTTATCAGTTACAATTAGAGAGTTACAGCAATTAACTTCCTTATAACCCAGCAAAATAATTGAAAAAATAAAATAAAATGCGTAGTGACTCTTTGTAAATAGTGTCATTTTGGACTCTGGTTAGTGGAATCATTTGCCATCATTTGCCATTTTAAGGGAAAAAAAAAAAACAACCTCTAACATTAAGTATCCATCTGGCCAATTAAAACAAAAATAAAATGCCAATAACTACAATGCTAAAGCAGAACTGGGTTCCTCAGCATATGGAACTGCACTTGCCCTCTTCCCAAACCAAGGAAAGTCAAAAGTCATCATCAATAAGCATACAATATACAGCAGTCTCCACTAGACAACCATTCTGAGAAGACCCATTCACAAGCTAATTGAGCTGACTCCAGCTCACAATTTCAGTAATACAAGTGAAAAATCATCCAATTGAAATCAATATACAATAATCAAACATCAGCAGAGCAGAAATCATAAAATTATTTGGATTAGCTTAAATTTTCATACGCAAGTAGCATATAAAATATAAAATTATCTCTAAAATTTCAATATAATAGATCAGGAAATGAACTTGGAAGAACTAATTGCACCCTACATCAACACGAAAACAGAAATAACAGGGTTTCTCGAGACATTGCAACGGCATGTGAGGTGCGGTGATCTTGGAATAGAAATGAAATCGGAATGCATTACCGATGATAATAAGATAAAGAGAGGAAGATTAGAGGGACAGACCTCCTTGGCATGGTGGAGGCACTCGAGATAGTCTTCGCGGAGGAGAGCACAGTCCTTGGGTTCTCTGCAAGTGGACATACACTCGCTGAAATCGACCCAGAAATCGTAGCACCGGCCTTTGTTGCCCGTGATTCCCCATCCTGATGCCATCTCTCTCCCTGTCTCCGGTAAATCGCACCAATTAGGATGGCGCCGAAGTGCTGAGCCTTTCTGATTAACAGAGATGAACAGATATGAACGGAGGAGGGGAATGACGTACAGACTTGAAGATATTGATGAAATTACCAAAATGCCAGTAAGAGTTCAAGTAATTACCTTTGGTTGTTCAGCACCGGGCCGGTTTCGGGTCCTGTAAGCAAGACAGCACAGAGCCAGACTGAACTAATTGTGAACGATGTGATATCCAAACCTTATTTAATTTAGAGTTCAGTGAAATTGGATTTTATAAGGAGGATATTTTTTTTTAATAATTAATTATTTATTTATTTATAAAATTTTAATTCAAAATTTTAATTAAAAAAAATTGAGTTTTTCCTAGTCGGACTGATAAATTTTGGTCCTTGTGCTTTGTTGCTTTTACTGGATGTTAATCGCGAAAAGGAAAAAATGTATAAGGTGATTTTCGTTGATGGTAAAATTGCAGTCCTAGTCCCTGACTCTTGGATTTTGCGCAAGTTAATTCTCATTTTTTGATCTCTGCAATTTGTTCTAAAAATTATGATTTCTTCC